TTATATCAACAATCGGTTAAGTACAGGACCACAACAGTTAATAAACTAAGCAGTCCGCATGGTGTAGTGGTAAGACACTCACCTGACATTTTGCAAGTGTTTTGTCCTGGGTTCGTATCCTGGCCTGGGAGGATTTACTGGGTGTCAATCCTTACCTGTAGCCTCTGTTTACCCAAAAGTAAAATGGGTACCTGGTTGTTAAACGATTTGGCTGGTCGTATTCAGAGGAATATTAGGATTAACCCTTAAATGGCGCATAGCTATATACCATTTGACACCCACAGGCGCATACCAAAAAAAAAAAAAAAATTTTTTCTTCCTAACCTGTTAATTTGTGTTCACTGATCACGGGAAAAATAATAAAAAAAATCGTAAGTGGCATATATTGCCCACTATAGGGCGGGGAATTCTGGCAAAAATCAGGCGCTGACTGAGCGTGCGTCCCAGGCGGTCTGTTGATCGCCAGCTGTCAGGCCAGAGTTTCCACAAAGAGATAATTACCTAATTATTTCAATGTCTCTGATTGATTTTTCGTAGTATTTTTGCTGTAATATTATTCAATAGTGTGTAGTGTGATATATTTATATAATAAAATGAGTGAATCATCGCTGTACTCAAAAATATGGTGTGCATATTGTTGATTCAATTATGTTCATCAAACAGTGAACAAATACTTTGTCGGTTATTACACTATATACACAGGTTATATATAAGTATCTGCAGGTTTTGTTCACCATGACGAACCACTAAGTTGGTATGCTGAGTGGCAGTGGCAGGCAGTGACTGGCTGCCACTAGCTGCCACTCCCTCCCTCACCTCACCTGACTTGCCACCATTCTCCACCCACCATACTGTTTTTGCTTTTATATACAGACGTTATATATAAGTATTTACATGTTTTGTTCACCATAACTGTACATCTAAGCTTGTATGGTGAATAAAGGCACAAAGACATAGCTACTCACACAGTCAGTTGGTGGCGGCCGCCCTCAAGGCCAGACGCACTAATATTTCTCCTACAACAATACTGCTTGTGGTGTTATTACGCTATATACACACATTATATATAAATATCTACCTGTTTTATTCACCATACTTGTACAAGTAAACTGGTATGGTGCCCAAAGACCATCGTGGTCATCAGTAAACAACATGATAAGTCCTGCAGACGACGCTCCTCCCTCACCAAAATGGCGGCTCCCAACCTCCTACTCTCGCTGTTATCTCACACTATACCCACGTTATATATAAGTATCTACATTTGTGTTCACCATAGCGAACCAATAAGCTGGTATGGTGAGTGCAGTCAATAAAAGGTGGCCATACACACTCAAAAGACAACGCCACCATCCTCCCTCCCACAGCATTACTCCTCCCTCCATGGCACACAGCGCCAAATATCACCACAATCCTGCTATTATCAGAACCCTGGTCAGTTTTATCACAGTCAGGTGTCTTCTGTAATAATATCATCGCTACATAATAGCATGAACAAGTATATTACGGCATTTTTAGGCGATGCTGTGGTCACAAGCTGAACAGCAGTGCTGTGAGCTCATGCTGCATGCATCAGGCTTGGTAGCTGACTCAATACTGAGGCCCCTAACACCCGGGAGTTTGCCCCACGATTTTTTTTTAAAATGGCGTCTGTTTACAAGAGCCCTGATGAAGGTGTGGTGAACCCCATGTGTCCGCGGGCCGTTTAAATCTTGCGTAGTACTCCAAAGCATCACATGATGCGATGCGCAATTTACTGCAAGTCGGTCAAAGCATCATATGATGCGATGCGCAATTGAAGGGTTAAGGCCTTGCCCGAAACGCTATGCGTGCTAGTGGCTATACAAGAATGTATATATAAATAAAAAAATAAAAAATAAAAGCAATTTACATTTATGATGAACTAGTACCAGCAGGAACTTCCTATAAAGAGCAACTGAGAAGATTGTCTCAAAAGATGCTATTGTAGTTAAAAATCTTCAATATCTACTCAGATAAAATTAAAAAAAAATTTGTATATTTATATTGATAAACATTAACACTTTCACATCCGATGATACTAAAATGTGTCATCAATATTCCCTATAATAAATCTTTGATCACGCTAAAATACGTCTTCCGAATGCTATTCATAAACACTCTTATATGCATAGCTGTCATGCATAATCTGTTATAAATATGCACACTTTTTTTTACATCTATTCTCTACAGAATTCATTTGCAAACATTTTGATACCAAATTTAGTTATAACTCAACAAATATCTGAAAAATAAAATGCTTGCAAAAATTGCATTGCTGAGCGAGATACACTGAGCAAGTTATATTTACATTTGGAAACATACAGAGGATCATAATCTATTATAAATACACTTTTCGTTTTGCATCTATTGTCTAGACACCAAATTTATAGTTATAATCCAACAAATAAATTTAAAAGCATAAACTGATTGCAAACATTTTCTGCATCACTGAGCAGCCCGTGAGCGCCCTGGGAAGCCCGCAACATTTACAGTCGGGAATGTGGAAAAGGCTGGACCACAAAAGTGTTAAGAAAATTTGTTCAGATGGCTTATGAATTATATTTAGAGTATACAATAGTAGAAAACCTCCCAGAGGTAATGATGTCCTTTTACAGAGGAAGAAGAGCATGTAATTCAATTACTGGATGATGTTCGGTAAAGCCTTTCTATACTTGATAATCAAAATCATAAGGAAAACCCACCTTCATTTGAGTTACCCCAAACATTTGACTTAGCTGAACAGCTTATCTTTAATAGATAGCATAACTTGCTTCCTTTTAACACCCCCACATTGATTGCTGCTGTACCAGACAATGTCTTAGTAAAAATTAATCTAAGTTTCTATTAAAACTAAAATTTAAGAAAGAAAATCTTTCAGTAACAGTAGCATGAAGTAGAATCCCCAAAGGAAGAAAACTTGGCTGGGGAGAAATTTATCTGATGTATCAAAAGCCTTTTTGACAGTCTGGCACAGTGGCCTAAAATAGAAGATATCAGAACTAGGGCTCCTACAGACTGGCTGGCTGGTCTGGCTATTGGTTACTACTCTCTCCTGTCTCCTATTCCTTGACATCTTCCACTCCCCATCCCTTCAGACACTTTGATATTGAGAACATCTGAGAATGATTGCCTGCTATACAACAACACAAGCACGAGAGTCCATGAAGAAAAAACACAAGACTCGTGTAGAGATGTGCCAATGGCCAGTGATGGCAAGTGTCGTCAAGGAAACCATCCAAGTAACCTGCCCACTACAAACAAGTTGCATCAATGCTCACAGGAATTTACCCTGCCCTATTAAAATTCTGAAAGTAAAGAGTTTAAGCACTTGTAACTAAATTGTTATCAATAACCCAAATTTCTATTAAACAATCAAGAACTCGTACTCAAATTTATTAGTCTCTCGCTCCTAAAACTTTTTAACCCAAATTCCTATTCAGGCTAAAAGATACAAAGAAAGGTAAAAACTCGAATGTAAATTCATTCGGAGAGATTCAAATTACTGGAATGTGAATTAACAAGCTCTTACAGTATGGTGTGCTTGTATTACCAGGGTGGCTCAATGTTTAATTTGCTTAGCAATGATGAGGTATTCTAGTGACAAAAGGTATAATTGTATTCCAGGTATATAATATAGGGAAAAACAGTATTAAAGATGTGTGGATGAGTGATAAGAAGAAAGCTGGATACAAAACTAATTTTTAGTAAATCTTCGTAAGTGCAGTAATCTACATCCTTGTCTCACGACCGAGGTTTCCGAGTTCGATCCCTGGGCAGCACTGTCAGATTGCAACATATTCTTTCACCTAATGTCTCTGTTCACCAAGCAGTAAATAGGTACCTGGAGTTAGGCAACTGCTGTGGGTTGAATTCTGGGGAAGCACTATAGGAATTAACATGCTTTTAGTCCCTCAACTATGGGAACCATAAGGCATGTGGGGCTTAAAATGCTTCTTTACAAAATGTTTCTTCAGCTCTGTTCTTGTGACATTCTATAAGCATGCCCATTTTTTATATTTAAAACACTTAAATTTTTTATAGATTCAATGAATTGGATGAATGGCAACCACTATTTTTATCCAGGTTCAGTTTGTATAATATTTTGAATTTACCTGCGCAGGAGTCATGCTAATCTTCTATGTAAAGTTCCAATTCTAGTACATGTTTCTTATAATTTTGCTTGAGAATTTAACAATTTCCTTTATTGATTTTCTTCAACAGTGTCATATAATGGAAATTAACAATTCACGCATTTCAAGCAACAAATATTTTCATAAAACTGTAGAATGTGATAAATCCTCAATGATACATCTGGTACATAATCAAAATAAAATTACAAAATCAAAGACATATGAATGTATCTCCCCTATATGATACTTTTATCATAATACACTATCTAACGCAGTGCAAGCCTAGTACCCAAAAAGCAACCATTAGTGGGAATCCCAACAAAACAAGATACTGTACTGTATTTCTAAAAATGAATGATGATAATCAAATCAATGAAAAGTACAGTACTGTAATGCAGATTCATTCAAAAATATCTTAAAAACTAAAACAATGAGAAGCAACAGCATGCTGGCAAGCGGTAAAGCAGAAAGCTCAAGCTGGGTTCAACACGTCAACAAGAGGCATTCGATAAAAAAAAAAATTAAAGCCTTGTAATCATATTTGTTATGCAATGCTTGGGTTAGTTTTCGGCAGCAATCAGATATTATTTACCAAGACATTGCAAGATGTTTTAATACAATTATGTCAGTCATGGTGATTTTATAACACATGTCACTAATGTATTAGGTCTTGTCAATTAGAGATAAAGCTTGCACATCTTAAGGAATCTTGGGAAGATTTAAACAAAATCCTATTATACTGAGTATTAAAACTTAATATTTAAAAAATTACAGGTGATAATAACAGCATTACACCAACAAAATTAATTGGAAAAATTGCAAAATAATTAAGTGAAACAAATTTCTACTCACAACAGGTTTAGCTCGATGCGTATCCACACAGTCAATAGGAATCTTGAAGAACTCCACTTTGCAGCCATATGCCTGTGGTACGAGCTTGATTATTGTGTGCAGAGGCACCTTCAGGTAGGGAAGCTCAGCTGGAAGCAGGAAAAGATAAGAATCCAGAAGGAAAATAACTCACCCACTACAGCGCTATAATTAAATTAACTTCAAATACTAGTCAACCAATGTTTAAATATTGCATTTTTTATTAGAAAATTAGTAATTTTGTGTTGTAACTTCAGCATTTAAAATAAACATATTTTAATGGCCCAGCAGGAAAGAATCAGGCTTTTCTTACTAGATACTGTATGCAATAAATATCTTTCCACATTTAATTTTTCTGGCAGTATTTCATCCCTCGGGTAGGGTTGAAAAATAAAAAGAAATTGATGTCATAACCAAAGGGTCCATACACCTGGATTTTCTACTTTGATATCATAAATATATTAATATGAACCAATCAGTTTAGTACGTGCTCATCATCTTAAACAATAAATTATCAATAATAAACAATAATAATAATAAAGCAAATAACTTATTACCAATCAATAATTTTAAGTATAGCCTATAAAGTGATTAAAGCTGTAAATAATTTCCTCATACCAGCACTCTTGTCAAGGAAGTAGGCCAAAACACATCTGAGAACTGCTTGATGGCCCACAACCAGCACATTCTCCTGTCGTTCCAGCTCCATTATAACACTCTCCAGGCGAACCAGCACATCCTCATATGATTCACCCCGCGGGTATCTGGAATACCAGTACATCACAAATTGCAATAACAAGTTTACCATTTAAACATTTATTACTTCTTACTTGTTATTGTTCATTACATAACCTAACGAACTGTGCATGTATTAATTAAAAGGGGTTCAAAATAGTTCACAGATATTGTAATAACAATGTTAAAAGTACAGTAGTAATAAAAAAAACTATTTTTAATCATCATGAGAGTAGGAGCAATGATTGAAATGTACGAGAAAACAATTTCCTGCATTACCTGTAGGAGTATTTGTTTTGATCACGAGCTGCAAACTCATCTGGGTACTGTTCTTGGATCTCCTCGTATGTGGAGCCTTCACAAATGCCCTGAAGAAAGCACGAGATATCATGATAAGTGGAATAGGCAAATGTTTCTGTAGCTAGAAGAATATAATTAGACAGATGAAGAGCAAGTTTTTGATACATTGATTGGATCAGCCAGAACCCATTTTAAAAGGTTGGTAACTTGTCAAGTGTCAATGTCTTTTTCAAATTGAACATTCTGCATTGAAAATTAAACTAACTGATATTCTTAATTGGTAGTGATTTTACTTTCATAGGGAAAGCATATCATGCAGTGAAGCAGGACATCATCACTTAGAACTGGCCCCGTGGGAGACCTTCAAACACTGGAGGATGTCACCCAAAAGTCATATTAGTACTAAGGAGGACTGGAGAAAAGCACCCATCAAAAAAAGCTGAAGAAAGCTTAATTCACACTCTTTCAGATATCTATTTCCCTATATTGATCATATGTTTGCTAAAATTTTAAACTAAAATCAGTCACATAATAAATGATTATTTTCTAGAATGTGATTTTTTTGCTTTTAATGAAATGAATAACTATATGTACAGCATCAGTTAACTCACAGCGTCAATTTCATTAAGAGCTTTCCATCTTTCCTGGGGGGCAATGATGCCAGATGCTGTCTGGATTGTTCTCTTCATGCATGACGTCCAAACACGAAGACTAGGGATGTTTTGGTTAGAAATGAACTTGGCTAGGGCATTTGCATACTGTCTTCCCCGGTGAGACAGATCTGTGTCACCTCCAATGCGGCCCAACTGGTTGTAAACCGATTCACCGTGCTATGGGTGAAATGATAAACATATAAATTTACTAAACTTATCAATATTGTGCAGTGTCAACTAATTGCTATTCAGACACTGTACATACTTTATTTGTTTAAAGTAAATACCTATGTCCCTGTCTGTACAAATACATGGGTATTTGTACTGAATGCCCCATGTATTTAATACAAATTGAACTTTGTAGAATATAAAAAAAAGAAAGACGTTACTAATGAAAGTGGGAAATAGGGTAGTGATTATTATGAATGTTTCCAATTTTTAATGTTAGCATGCTTTGTACAGAAATACAAATGTATTACATTCTTGCAAAGCCACTAACACTCATAGCTTTTCACTCGGGTCCTAAATCTAACACATTAGGTAAGATGAAAATGTACATTGTAGCAAAATTTATATCAACATAAAACAACAATATAAATTGAATAATATAATGTAAATGTAATACAATATAAATATAAATGATTTAGTTTTATCACCATTAGAGCAAAAACTAATTATAATGATTTATATGATAGAATACCTACACGACAGCAAAATGAAGCTCTTTAACATACCCTAGTAAGATATATGGATCGTGGTGTGATGTGTATGTTCATGAGGTAGTAAGCAATGCGGCTCTCTATGTGGCCTTCCTGCTTGTGCACCACGACTCGTCGGCCTGTAAAAAATAAACGGAACCGCATTTTTAAACAGAACCGCATTTTATTCAATCACACAAGCTGAAAAGTAATCGAGTTGCTAATATAAACCCATTAATTTGTCATATACATACATTTTCAGCAGCAGGAATGTTTGGGATTTATTTTAAATGTGGCCATCCACCAAGTCCTGCATACAATAACACATCATATGAAGCCTGATGAAAATCTACATATGCTAGTACAGTACAGTATTTACAATACAGTACTTAATTAAAAACCGAGTACAATGAACACTGTATGCATAAGTTTGAATACCGTAACACCAAATTTGTACAACATAAGTGAGACTTTTAACGCTATAATTTCAAAAGCACAAGAAGAATCATATGCTGTACACAAATAGGTGTGGCTATTTAAACAAAATTTCTTTGTAAACTTAAACTATCTAGAGATAGGTGTTAAAAACAGAAGAAACATAACGTTCTGCAAAAACAGGCAAACAAGCTAACAGTTTACTGGTGCACGGCTAAGGGCAGCATTGTCTGTACAATACAGTACAGTACTGTATATGTATTTACATATTCCTCCATCCATAACATCCAAAATACAACCCTCTATATAATGAATACACTACATTTATATGACAACACTAATAAATTTGTGTATTGGATAACGCCTTCGAAACTCATATCTAGATCCTGGCTCATTAACATTTGTGTTTCGAGCCTCCCACCTTGCTTGTGCCCTGAATTTTCATTTCACTCCAGTTGTGTGCCAGGGTTCTTTTCCCCTGATAGCCGGCTTACATCTTCCTTGCCCCCACCAGAGTTATCTTCTCTGAGGGGAGGTTCAGGTTTTCTACTCTTTGAGTTAATGCCTCATGCCCTTTCACTAATGAGTAGTGCATGGATTTGCTCCTCACTGCAAGGATGAGGAATGATTGTAGTTAGCTGTGTATGTGTGTGGCTATCATGCCTAGCTCTGCCCCTTCCATGGTCTGGCCCTGCACTGTCCCTCACCGAGTAGTTAAGGTTAGGAGTTCAGTTGGATTTGTTCAGCCAAGATGATTAGTCTGGCCTACGTGCTGCATATGAAGGAGTATTTTTTGGATCCCTCTGGTCAATCCTGCTGTCTCCATCACTGTTTATTGGGTTCAGGAGTATTAGTACTTTCACCCTCTGCCAAGCAGTCTTCTCATGCAGTGGTATGTTGAATAATATTGGCTTTTGTGGCCTTTGGTTGAGCCAGGTGGTGCAGCATAGCTTTATGAGGAGGGTATCCAGCATCAGGTTTTTGCATTGTGTTTAATATACATTGACATCCCATTCTTTGGCAGTTGGATGGCCAGTTTTTCTCTACCTTTGCACTCATAGAGCTCAGGAAAAAGACACCACACTAGATTTTTAGACTTTAATGAAGGAGAGTCCATGGTGGCCCTTTGAGCCTCTTTGGTGTTTGGTTCTTGGCCCAGAGGAATTGTTGCTCAATAGGGATGAATTTTCTTAACCCCATCTGCATTTGAGCTGGATGCTTTTTATACTTTCCTTCGGGTGTATTTCCAGGCTCCAGTTCATAGCTAATATAAACCTATCATGCAGATTTCCATCATCTCGTCTCTCCCCAACTGAGGATTTAGCAGACTTACATCGGTTCTGGCTTTGGGACTGGAACCATGCAGCTAAGATAGATGCATGGCTCCTGGCTTCCTCCTGGTTGGTATACAACACAGTTTTCCTTGGATAAATGGCAGTCATACTGAAGGACTCAACTGGAAGGAGATGGCCCCTTTTCTGAAGGTTTTCCTTGCAGTGCTCAGCTGTGCCCTGTTTGCACCTGTCCTTTCCCATGATGTTAGGGCTTGGAAACTCCATGTCCAGGTACCCTCAGTTGCTTTCATCTTTAACTGCAGTGGACCATAAGGTATGCACCAGTTTGTTAAGGTTCTGCTTCTATTCAATGCAAATTATATTATAAAATATCACTAAGAGGGATCTCATGTGATTCTTTATTATTAATTAGAGACTTTCTGATGCAGTGTTTTATGGGTGGAAGAAAAAAATTTAAGGTTCTGTCACCACACGAGTCGGGTTATATTTATTGTTAAAGTTTTCTTAAATTGGAAAATCATGAACCCATATTTTTGGTACTTCCACAAGAATACGGTAGATGTTATTGTACATGAGAGGAGGAAGGAGCCTATTAAAGCTGTTTGGGTTGCATTCATCTTTATTTGTCTATCTACCGTTATACTCTGCTAATGCTTATCAATGGCCCTTATTTCATTTCAAACTGGGTAAAACAAAGCATAAAATCTCCCTAAGAGCTACAATGAACACACTACCATCATCAATAATCAGAAGCCATACATTACCTGCATCAAATATCTTCATGAAGCTGTACTGACTCTCCTTGTCTTCATCGAGTGGCTCATACATAGTGCGGTAGTGCTCAATACGCTTGAGGAAGTCTTTCACGGCATCCTCCTTCTCCATGTTAGTGTAGTCTGGGTTTGTCACCTTACACTCCTATAGTTTGGATTATAACTATACTGTGTATATTATAATATTATATATATATATATTATTAATATATATATATAATATGCTACACGATATCTATAGGGACATTACTGATGTGCAATATACATTTGAGTCCTCATTCACATAAAAATATAAAAATAATGTCCGCCACAGGTTAAGCCTTCTGTATTTGTTTGGAAAAAAGTATTCAGTGCAGAACAGTTGATTAATAGTGCTATGCAATGGGATGCAACAGAGACTATACTTGCAAGCAATCAGTTTTACCCAAGTTTATCTCGTAGAGAGCTGTCGGAACCAAAAAGACACATTTTTAACTGTGGCATGAAAATCTATTGAAATTAATAACTGTTAATTTCATATTAACTTACACCATTTTCAGAAATTCGAGTAATGGTATTTCTAACAAACCAAAGAGAATTAAGATTTTTATTTTATTAATTTTTTTGCAATAAATATATATTGTTAGCATAATACGGTACAGTTTATTAATTACTTAAGCCTTTTACATAAATTATTTGTCCTTTATAATGTACAATTTTTGATTCTGGAATGCATCCAATTTTCTCACTTAACATTCTCAAAACACTATGTGTATTGTTTAAATCCGAGGTGTTTTGGAATGCATCCCTGCAAAGACCAGGAGTCAACTGCACTTTACTATTAAATTACTATTATCTTATTATGAAATTTTCTATTACAGGTACTGTACTGATATGCATTTTAATTTATAATATTAATCCAACAAAAAACAAACATTGAATGTAATGAAATGCCAATTTCTAAGTGAGCTCACTGAAGCTGTATGCCAAGATGGTCACTGTCTACTGGGTCACAGCAGTCAGAGTTCTAGAAGCCTACTGGGAACACATGTCAGAACCCAGAACCCCTCATAGACGTGCAGGGAGCAGTGATGTTTATTTTTGCCACCTCACTAGGGGAGGCAACAGTAAGTCCGAGTCAAAACAAACTATTGCTGGATTTAAAGAGAGACTGAAGTCTCAAAACTGACTGAAAGAATACCCGCAACCTTGTAAATAAATGATCGAATTCTCTCTGAACTACCACGAGCTATTTCTCCCCACCTCTCCCACTCATTTGACTTGCTGTCTTTCTGGTTGCCTTCGTCAGTGAGGTGGCGAAGATAAATGTCACCATTCCCTGCGCCTCTAAAGCGTCCGGGTTCTGGCTCCAGTCGCTGCTAGGCCTCTAGAACTCCATGGCCCACAAGGCCATAGAGTCCTACATGCTGAGATGGTAACCATTTCAACATGCTCTACATATAGCTTAAGAGAGCAACAAAAGGCTCCCCCCAGAAAAACTAACAAACAATTTATACATGTACAAAGAATCTCACAATGTGAGAGAAGACTAATAAACCAACCTACACATAGGATATAAACTAAATGTGGTTTTATTCAATCCTGCATCCTTAACAAGTCGAGATATTGTCATTTTCAGTTCACGTTATACGTGTTTGTGTTTGTTTCAGTCATACATTTGCAAATTAAGTACAGTATATATATTTCTAAAACATAAAAGGACATACCATAATATTTGTTTCAATTATATTTGGATCATTGCATATTGACTCGATGAAGAAGAGTTTGTAGCCCATACGCTCACAGATAACATGATGGATCAACTGACGACGCTCTTCATTCGAGTTTGTTGCATCATACACAGCCACCATTCCTCCTGACTGGAGGAACTCGCACACATCCTGGGGAAAAAAAAAAAAAAAAAAGAGTAAGACATGAGCTTTTGATCTAATGCATATGTACAGTACAGTAAGAATTGTCACTCCTACTTTGTTAATGCTTATCATATTGTATCAATATCCCTCTCCGAATATTTACTTTACATTTTAAATTTGTATTTAAATTGTTCTTTTCCCGGCTCCATGGGCTTGTGTTCATTTGTCCATCACTTTATTCCTTTCCTTTATCATTAGATACAGCATCATTTGAAAATATTTACACATGTGATCCTGCCGTCTCCAGGTCATTCATACAAATTAGGAACAGTTGTGGTCCACAGAACTGAGCCAATTGGTACCTCACCTGCAACTTCCTTCCATCCTGACACCTCTCACTACAAACCTCTGTTTCCTATCTTAGATATTCCTTAATACAGTCCAGTGTTTTCCCAGTTACCAGTCTACTTTTACATCTTGTGGGGTCAGCCTGTTTCAAGGGACAGTGTTGAAAGCTTTTCGGTAGACATGCAAAGATGTAATCTACCCATCTTGGCTAGCTTGTCATAGAATTGCTAGCTAAGGCATGTCTATCCATGTCTAAAGCCATGCATTCTTTCAATTACAAAGTAAGCCCTCCCTAGACGTTCCACTGTCCATTTAATTTTATTTTCTTCAGTATTTTAGAAGTTATAATGGTCAGCAACAGTATTAAAGTTCATAGCAGCGAGGAACATTACTATTTAATCACAAAATATGCTAACATTGTAATATTTTTAAGCTAATACTAGTTTTAATACTAGTTCAGACCTGCCCAAAATGCTATGTGGGTTAGTGGCTTTGCAGGAATGTAAAAATACCAATATTATATAATCTCACAAACCCATTGTACCTTCTAGTAAATAAATAAATAAATAAAAGTTTCAGATGGATGAGAAGACCACATATGTATCTAATGGAAAAGGGTAATTCACATTACAATTCCTAGAGAGAATCATATATTATACACATTGATGTACAATATACAGAGCAGCATACCACAAACTCTGTAAATACAGAACAGTATGTTCATCCATTGATTTTTACCCCTTACACCCTCAAGAATAATTGCTATAATCACAAAGAAAAGCAAAATGATCTAAAAATATTAAAAATTAAAGATTTCTTTATAGCAAATCATTATCTCAAAAGCTACCAAAGATAATGATTGACCTTTACAACATAGCTGAGAGGTCATAGTTCACTTGCCTGGAGAGCATCAAGTGCACATTTGTTTCTGACATTGGTTCCCTCTCTGTTCCTGGGATGGAAGAAGTCGTGACCCCGATAGTTGCCCACAGCTTGTCGTCGGTAATCACCAACATTGAATACTGGAGAAACAAGGTACGCATTTATTACCAGTATATATATATGACATATTATGGTGATGATAACCATAATAGTAATATTTTATTTATGCAAGAGTACATACAGGGCTCGTGCCAGATTATTTCATGCCCTAAGCAAGACCAACTACTGCACTGTACTTGCAAACAAAAAATAAAAAATAAATAAATAAATCCTCTCCGATTTTTAAAACTGAACTTCTTTTAGGAAAAATTAAGCAGCACAAGACATGACACTGCTAAATTTAGTTTAAATTGCAAGAGTATGTAACACATCAATTTTTTTATGTAAAACAACAAATTTGTATAAAACTATGACCTGCAAAGGTCAGTACTGAATCCCTCTGAGGTCTGCACCCCGGGTGGCTGCTTAGTTGGTGCAATGGTAGCATTGGCCCCGAGTATATACATACGATATAGGAACATTGGAGGAGTAATGGTAAAACAAATACAATGCATCAAGCCACTAAAGTGTGAAGTGTTTCAGACATAACAAAATTAGGAGAATATATGCTTATACAGATACAGTACATGCTTATTGGCATAATACTTAAAATTAAATAAGATATTTATTTATCTACATTTACATACACAGTATTTATAATGAAAATACAGTACTGTGCAGTACAATATTGAATAATAAGACTCCCACAAGAATATTATTTTTTTTTATAAAAATGAAATCGTAAACTGGCATAAAAAGTAACAAACCTTTAGTGGGAAGGCCAACCCAGTTGAGATATCGTGCCAACTTCATGGCAATGTAGGTCTTGCCACGGGCAGGCAAGCCAACCATCGCCACAACATGAGGAGTGTTGACATAATCCATACCCACTTCTGTAGAAGAAATAATTTTATTATAAAACATTGAACACACCTGGAGAATACAAATACTTGCCCTCCTACACAGTGGTTGAAAGTGACCACATTTCATTGTAAACAGTAAGTAATGTCTGCCAAAGGAGCCCTCTGGGTACATTCATAATCCTTACACCAAAAATATGTACAGTACTAATAATAACCTGCTCTAATCATTAAAATTATCTATATCTATAAAAAAGATGTCTGTCTGTCTGTCTATCTAAGGTTGGAGGCCAGAAGCTTGGTGCTACGCACATGAAGCTTTGCAGGGTGACTGCTAGGTGTAGGGGGAAGGTCATGGGGAAGGGGAAAGATGAAACGTTCTGGGTTGAATCTACAGAGTTTTATATTTTATCTTTACTTTTTTGCTTATCACATGCCTCTGTATGACTAACCATCCTGTGTGATGGGGATTTTTTAGCATCACCTAGTTAGCTTTTTTGACACACTGTACTCCACTTCATATAGTCTAGGGTAGCTGCACTAATGCAGATGTACCTAATATGTTAATAAAAAAAAAAAAAAAAAAAAAATTATTTATTTATTTATTTATATACAAGCAGGTGCATTGGATTGTGAGAGTACATAACAGTGTTCTTATATTTGTGAAAAGCCACAAACACACACAGCATTTCGGGCAGGTCTCTACTCTACTCTACCCGTCTCTACTCTCTACTCTAATAATGTGCAGCCATAGTTTGCCAGTGCAGACTACTTATCACATGGCCCTGTATGGCTAACCATCCTGTGTGATGGGTATTTTTAGCATCATGTAACCAGCTCTTGACACACTTTTTATTCCCCCTTCATACAGTCTAGGGGAGCTGCTCAAATGAAGATATACCAAATGGTGTTAATAAAAAAGTATATTATTTAGGGAGGGGGGGGGGGTCGTCTCTCAGCACTTAGATGGCACAACATTTTGGGGTTGTCCCAGCCACCATGGTGTACATCATGTAGTACATTATGCATAGATATTTACCCGAATTTACCTAAGAGCCACTATCTTTCTAGTGGCTTCAGCAAGGACACAAAGCTGGTAGCTTGTCAAAGGTCTCCCCACCCCCCCAATTTGTCCTGATGATTTTATTGATCGGGAGTTTGAAATTCTGTAGTATTTTGGCATTTATGGCAATCCCTATTATGACATGATACGAAATTAATGAAAGACAATGCAAACGATAGTACATGTACTGTACTTTGCATGTCAAGATATTGTTGATAGCAAGTCAAAGTTTATTTCAAGACAAATTGTATAACTACATATAATTAGAGATGACAATATATAAATACAGTATAAATTAATATATAATTACTGGGTATATACAGTAAATTAAATTAAAATTTAAATGATTAAATTATTATTAAATTAAATTAATTTTTTATTCAGGAAACGTACATAGAAGATTTACAAATTTTGTTTATTTTGTATTTTTATTTTGTATTTATTTTTATAGTTTTCAGTATTTCAATCACTTGGATCATTGGACATTCAAATTGGGGCCTCAAAAGTATGAGGCACACATTACCTACTGCATATGTGGTTGGCAGTTTGAGGCTCTTGACGGCATCAATAACGTTCTTGATGTGGGGAGCATGAGGCACAATTAATTTGATCTAGGGATGCACAAGCCAAAATTGGTTAACCACTAGGCAAAAATGGTACAGTTCTAACAATTCTTAAGCCAAAACCTGTCAATAATCACTTCATTTGACTAGACAGATCCCATCAACTGAATGGCCTAATCATTTCCAAATGTGCAACAGAAAAAATGTATTGTCACCAGGTTAGACAAGGATTTAGGGTGCATCAACTGCCAGCATCATTAATCCCTCAATCTACCTTATTCTAACCTTCAATATATCCTAAACATGTAGATGACTAAAAATAAAATAGTGCAGTATTTAACTCAAGTACAGTAAACAATGTACAGTATATGTGACTAGGCTCGTCGTATAATCTTGCAGAAACAAAATTAGTCTTTACTTTATACTTGAGATTAAAGTACAGTATACTTTAATCTCAATTAGTATTAAGTTTTAGTCTTTAGTGTTTTTCCTGCTTGAAATGCTTTGCGTCATAGTGGCTTTAGGCATTGTATGTACTAGCTCTATCTATAAATCCATCAATGTGAATGAATAAACCATCATCCTGAATAAACATTTGAATCTGAAAAGTCAGAAGTGCACATTTCTAGGAAGGGGGGGGGGGGGTCCAGGGATGAGAGATTAATCCTATCATATTGCCTCAATATTTTCTCATGTAAAATTGTTCCTTCAGAAGATATTTAACCAATAAAATAGTCTGCCATGCCTGTTAATGTATATGCACCAAAAATCATTCATCAAATTTAAAACAGGTAAAACTTCTAAGAATAGGTGGGTGTACAAGATTCCAAGAGGAGCCATAAATAAAAACTACAAATTATTTAGTCCTTGGACCTATACAATATTTCTAAAGTCTCAAACTAAATCAGAAGTACAAGATAGAGAACAAGAAATTCATATATTGACATCCTCCAGTCAAGCAATAATTTCTCTACATATTTTCAGTTGAATAAAGAAATATGCCGGTGAATATTGGCCTATAGCTATTGTGTAAATTTGCACTCACTGCATTTTTTTTACTTGTTTATCTTATTAACATTAACTGCATTAACTACAGAACTGTGAGCTACTAATCTAGTAACTTATCACAAATGAAATTTAGTTTAGCTGATTTATTATGTACCCCATACCCATCCTGTGGGCAGTAGAGGTAAGGGTTACAGAGGCACACAATGGGCTCAAGGATTGAACCACAAAGTTCATTTAGCTAACCAATTTATAGTCTTGATAAACTAGTTTAAAGCTAGCCACAAATTTGCTAAAAACTAAAACTAATTTGCCACAAACATATATTGCTTAGCTTACGTAACAATGACTGCGGTTCAAGAAACCCCTATACAGAATGGCTAGCAAAACCCTTTCACCGCCACCCACAGTATGGGAAGAACAATATGAGGACCATAATAAAACATCTAAACCAGTTACAAAAGCAGAAATGAGACAGTGACCTTGACCTCGACAATAACAACGGGCTCTCATGCATGATCTCGAACCCATTGTTGATGTGACGACTTATATTGAATTTTGTAACTAGCTCATCAAGATTGTAACTTGCTTAGCTAAATGAATTGTGGGGTTCAGTCCCTGAGCCCATTATGTGCCTCTGTAACCCCTTTCCACTACCGCCCACAAGATGGGTATGGGGTGCATAATAAATGAACTAAACTCAACTCAACTCTTATGCAGGACAGCGCTGATGGTGTTCACACTTGATATATACTGTACACATATCCTCCTCCTGGCCGGGGAGGATTTACTGGGCGCAAATCCTTAACTGTAGCCGCTGTTTAACGCAACAGTAAAATGTGTACTTGGTTGTAACAACGGTTCTTCGCGGCGGGGGTCGTACTCCAGGGACCTGCCCGAAACGCTACGCGTACTAGTGGCTGTACAAGAATGTAACAACTCTTGTATATATCTATAAAAAAAAAAACTGTATACCCCATCTCTCAGTGCTTATGACCCGAGTATTTTTTGCTCTGTTGCCATCGTGATTATACTTTAGTCCTGTGCCATGTTGAGGACTGAGGTATATTTGGTGTTTGGCAAGTATGCTAATTAATGTCACGGCCTTATAACCCTTGTGCAGTTAATAACCACCACCACATTCACACGCTCACGTGCTCAGAATGGTGCAGAGATGGTATGGTACCGGATCCCGTCCTACCCCAAGATAAAACAACAAATACAGTGAGGTCACAAACTGCCAATTTCACCCCAGTCCATTCTCAAAGACACTAGCAAATGCTTGTTATCCCAGCAGCCGCAATCATGTTTATGATTAAAACACTACAGCGTGTATATCAATAATATACTCGCTCCAACACCATTACAGTATTGGATTCACAGCTGGTGATCTCTTTCCAACTTTTTCTCGAACTGTGATTATTAGCAAGTGGCGCACCCCGTTCCCTGTTATATATACTGAGAGAATAACTTTAGTTCTGGATTATGTCCAGAAATAGAGTATACTTGCTGGATGGTCAGGAAGCTATTGTAGTGGTCTTAAAGTTAATAACCCTCCAGAGGTTGATAGGCCAAAAAAAACATTAATTGTTGAGTTAAGCCTCAGTTGGCACACTATCCATGTGGTGTCGGTTATTTGACTTAACGTTATTTCAGCGTTGAATTAACGTTGTTACTGCGTTGAATTGGCGTTGCTCTTGGAAATTGTGCGATCTGGGGTGTTGGTTCATAACTATAAAGCCTATAACCCAGTTGGCATAATAAGAGAAACGCCAATTTAACGTTAATTCAACGTCGAATTAATTCTACTTTTAGAAATTGTGTCCACTTGGTAACATGACCTTTCACTTAACTAGTTGAAAGGCTACAGTCACACAATGGGCTCGGGCAATGAACCCGTGTTCGCATAGCTACAGAAAACAAATTCATTATTTGTTTACTAATTTGTTCATTAGATACACAAAATTGTAATTTAATATGATTTATAAACTTTTAAATACATTTCGACCTTAGTGGGCCTTATGACAGCCTAATAGATGATCATCAGTGGCAAAATGGTAAAATCCTCTCGTATGACAGAAAGAAGTTTAGTTCATTTCCTCTAAATATGTCCCTCCATACCCACAGCCCGTCCTCCTAAGATTTCCCTACGTCAAGAAACTCCCGTACTAAAATGCCCTTATCTTAACCTACCAGAGGACCCTAAACGGGACAATATGTCAATTTTGCGAGCAGCTACCATTCTCTAGTACAGTACAACGATTTTTGACCTTAGGTAAAGAATGCGTCAAATGCGATGTTCTACTACGAAGACGGGTTGATCCTGTGGGTGTAGTAGAAAACTGCACATATGAGCTCAACAACTGAATCACAATAAACTAATAATAGTGTGCTGTATAACA